TTACAGTTTCTGGGAGAGAGTGTGCTATCTAGAATGATCAACACTTGGAACAACACCAGCACACTCAAACTCTTGGTCATGATGACTTGTGACTTCATGCTAGCTCAGCTCTCGACCACTCCAAGTGTTCTCTTTACCTAAATTTCATTCACAAAGCTTAGGTCAACCCATGGTATGATTTTCAAGCACCTTTCCAAATACTGGGATCATCTCCACTCCAGACAGATAACATCAGAAAGTCTCCATCCTGTCAAATCAACCACGGTGAGATTCGAACCTGGGTCTCATGGTCAGAATGCGAATGTTCTAACCACTCGGCCATGCACCCATATAATGAGAATAACAGTGAAGATACTGTAATATTTATTAATAGAATCAAAGCTACCAAAGTTTTTGTGGTCATATTACGACCGCTGCATATATTAGAATTCAGTGTTATAGTCAAAGAAGATAAAAGCTGCCTTCAAAATGTTCACAGGTTGCAATCCTAACCTCGTCAATAGGCATAACTTTGGTACAATTTGTTTTGCCCACATACAAGATAGAAAGAAATTGGGCAGTAAAGGTGAAAAAGCAATAGTCTAAAATAAATCAAGTCCTGACATCTATACCAGAGACTAGGAATATCAAGAGAGTGTGGTGTGTAAAATTGACTGAAAACTTTGAAAATCCTATCTCTGATGATTTGATACTTATGCTTGAAGAGAATGATGCAATACTTCCCAACTATTTGCCGAAAAATCATTGTATGGAAGGGACACAAGAAAGCGAAACTCCACAATCAACAAACGCAAGTGATAATAACTGAGATAATCCTAGTGCAGAAATGCAAGACAGATCATATCCAAGCAGGTTACGAAAAATGCCTGGATACTTAAAGGATTAAAGAATTATTATTAAGAATTTAGATGATGCAGTAAATCTAACTATACATTATTGTTGTTTGGTAAAGAATGTACACTAATTATAATGATGCTATTCAACATAGGTGTCCACCAAATGAATGTGAAAACAGCACTTTTAAATGCACTGATTGACTGTGAAGTATATTCCATTGCTACATTATCCTGGGTATGATGATAAACTACATCCAGCAGTAAGGCATCTGATCAGGAGGTTTTGAGGAGCATGGAACCACCTCTTAATTGCTGTTGTTCTCAGGTCTACTCTGACCTGGGGTGGTAGCATCTGTTCGGGTCCCAACTATGGGTAAATAGCTAACTCCTAAACTAGGGATAAAACATGATAAAAGTTTAAAAGTAAGTTTTATTTACTACTCTTATTTTTGTATAGGAAAAATTTAAAGTATCAAAAAAATAAAAAGATTTGAAATTGAAGTTGTAAAATAAGTAGTTAATAAAAAAAAAATCACTTGAAATATTAGACAAGAAAAAAATTGCTTTTATTTATGCAAATTGTATGTGAATGTTTGCATGTATTTTTGTTTCAATCTACTGGCCACTTAGAAAGTGTGCAGATTAAAGGTGGGTAAATATGAGTGCATTCATCCATTCAGATTAGGTGTGTGTGTGTGTGTGTGTGTTGATTTCCAGTTTTGGCTGGAATGACTGCAAAACTTTTCCCCCTCCCCTTTTATAGGCAAAAGTCCACAAAATGCATGCGGGGATGTTTTTCTTAGTTAATAAAATAAGACAATTTACAATTTGATTTGACTCAGTCCAGATTTGCCTTATCTACTAGACAGACACACTACATTTGCTTGTCTGACCTAGCTTTTGTGGGCAAACACCAACTCATATTTTGTGAACTCTTTTGCCTTCTTACCTGTGAATTTGCTTTACATGTATTGTTTGCTTGTTACTATTTCATTTTTGCCCTTTTTTCTGTTTATTGCAAATTTTATTAATTCTGTTTGTTGGACAGTTGTATTATTTATTTTGCATTTTGACTTCGAATTTATCAATTTTAACTACCTTCCATCCTTGGCAATGTTATTGTTATAAAAAGAATTCTAAGAAAACTTAAATATATGATGAAAGTGAATTTATACATTTTTTTGTTCTTAAGAATTTAGGACAAAAATATTAAACACTATTAGTTTATTTACAATAATAATTCTATATTTACAATATTTTAAAAAGTAACACAATTAAAACTAATGCAATGCAATATTTATCATTTACCTTTTTTAAAAAGAAGTAAATAGGAAAACAATTTTTTATACATAAATTTATAAACATTTACTAAATTATTAAAATATATGATTCACCTTAAGGAAATCCTTATTATTTACCATTTTATAAAGTTTGAATCAGTTGTCAATTTTCTAATGTTTTGCCAAACATTCCAATGAACAATCTAATAAATAGTGTTTTTTTATTTTTGTTGTCAATCTCAAGAACAAAGAAAAATTCACTTTCATATGTTTAGGTTTTATTAGCTTTCTAATAATTGCTGAGGAGTGAAGGTAGTTAAAATAATAACAGTGTCAATGGAAAAATCATCCTTTTGACTCTCCGTTTTTTTTTTTAGGCATGAAAGTTCAAGTTTGTTAATTCCATTTTGCAGATTTCCTGTTCATATTATTTTTGACTTAAAATGTTTAATGAGTTCTACTGGAATTCATGGAAATCCGAGTTGAATATAAATTTCTACTTGCCAATAATATAAGAGCCTCTGATCTTTAATAATACCTTTTCTCCTTTCAGAGATTTTAAATTTGGAAAGAAACAAAGGAACTTCTCTAATGGCCATATATAAATATTACATAGAGAATCTGTGTTCATCGTCAATTTCTATATTTTGGAATTTATAATTTATGAACTCAAGTTAACAACCCTACAACAAAAATATTATTTTCAAAAGTGTTTATTTGTATTTTAAAATGCCTATGATTAATAACACACTTAGAAAAAGAGGCTGTATTCTTATGTTGATTGTCAACCTATTCATATGAAAAGTGTAGATTGAAATTATTACAGAGCTCATATTTGAAAGCTCATATGCAAAAACATTCTCAAGAGAAACCCTATTCATATATGTGTGATTCAGCATTTTCACAGGTATTACACTTAAAAAGACACATGCAAGCTCACACTGGAGAAAGAATATATTCATGTGAAGTGTGTGGTTCAGCATTTTCATTGAAATCACTTTTAAAAAGACATATGTTCACACACACTGGAGAAAAACCATATTCATGTGAAGTGTGTGGCACATCATTTTCACAGAGTTCAAATTTAAAAAGACACATACAAACACACACTGGTGAAAAACCATATCCTTGTGAAGTGTGTGGTTCGGCATTTTTACGGAGATTACATTTAAAAATACATATGCGGATACATACTGGAGAGAAACCATATTCATGTGAAGTGTGTGGTTCAGCATTTTCAGAGAGTTCCTTATTAAAAAATCACATGAGGACACACACTGGAGAAAAACCATATTCATGTGAAGTATGTGGTTCTGCATTTTCATTGAGATCACTTTTAAAAAGACATATGCAGACACACACTGGAGAAAAGCCATATCCATGTGAAATTTGTGGTGCTGCATTTTCACAGAGTTCAAATTTAAAAAGGCATATGCAAACACACACAGGTGAGAAACCATATTCATGTGAAACCTGTGGTTCAACATTTTCAGAAAGTTCAAGTTTAAATACTCACATGTGGATACATACTGGAGAAAAGCCATATCCATGTGAAGTCTGTGGTTCATCATTTTCACGGAGTTCACTTTTAAAACGACACATGCAAACACACACTGGTGAGAAACCATATTCATGTGACGTTTGTGGTGCTGCATTTTCACAAAGTTCAAATTTTAAAAGACACATGCAAATACATACTGGAGAAAAACCAAATTCATGTAAAGTGTGCGGCTCTGCATTTTCACAGAGTTCAAATTTAAAACGACACATGCAGACACACTGTGGTGAGAAACCATATCCATGTGTATTCTGTAGTTTAGCATTTTCAGACTGTTCATTATTGAACACACATATGCAGATACACACTAGAGAAAAAACCTATTCATGAGACCTATAATGTTGAGCAGTTTCACAGATTTTAAATTAATATATGAACACACTGGGGAGAAATCATGTTCATATGATGTGTAATTCAGCATTTTTACAGATTTCACATTAAACAGAACACATGTGAAGTGTGTGGTTCAGCATTTTCATGGCGTGCACTTTTAAAAATAGATATGTAAACATACACTGATGAGAAACCATATTCATGTGAAGTGTAGTTCAGCATTTTCACATATCAATCTTAAAATGTTTAAAAAATCCTTAAAACAGCATCTGATAATCTAATGAAATGTAGAGTAGTTCATTGTAAATTTTATTATAATTACTCATCACAAATATTGATGAAAAAATATCATACATTCAAAATCCCATTTCTAAACTTATTAAAAATGGAAACATTTTTCTTTGATATCTCATTGTATGCTTTTGCAAATTAAAAGTTCTTGCTTTAAAACTTTGACATGAGTGGCACAAGTAATGAACTTATTTCTTCTTGTGTCTTAGTGGCTTTATTACTCTGCTTGAGATGATAAAAAAGATGTTTTGTTTAGCTAATAAAAATAAAATCTAAAGTTTTTATTTAATAAGATTACTATTTTGTTTTGTGTGGTCTATAGAATTTAAAGGTTGTGTTTTGGTGTATGATAGGTGTTTGCATGTTCACATAAACAACACAGAAGAAACAAAAACTTGGATTTATGCTACGGACTGTTTATTCTTTTTATATATATGTAGGGAAACAATGTCTCTTGAGTATGTTGGTTTTCTTTTACTGGTGCAGAAAATTGGGGAAAAAATAGGCAAGAAGATTATTCCCTTAAAACTACCAAGTGTGATGAACCTGCTTTAAAAATCAGCATTTTAAGTCCTCAATTTACTGATGGTAAACTTAGGTGGCCATACGTGTATGACACCTAATACATACCAGTCTGTGAGATGAACTTGCTAACCCTTTCTCCAGAGGAATTCTTACCATTTTCCTATATGAGGCAAAGGCCTATGGCCATATCACATTGAAACAACAGTTGCCATATGATCATTGATGTTAAGCAATGTTGAGCCTGGTTAGTACCATGATGGGTAACTGCTTGGGAATACCAGGTGCTATAAGCTTGTATATGCAGGTGGTGTAATGGAGAATGGCTCAGAATTGTTAATCAGAGAGCCAATTTGAGTCAAGTTCATTATCACTTACCTGCAAATACCCTTGTGAAATGTATGAATCTACTTCTTCTCCCCCAATTATGGGTTAATTAGTAAGACTTGTATCACCAAACCATTATTATCTCCCCCAAAAAATTCTTACAATTTAAAAATATTTTCTGGCTTTAAATAACCTGCAAAGGGTTGATAAGCCATAAAAAATGAATCACTCAAACCTACATGAGGTGACTAAGCTTTAACAACAGCAAGAATAGTATTTACACTATTTATATTCAGACTATTGTGTTTGTTGTTGTTATCAAAATGTTCCAGTCATTGTACTCTCTAGCCTTCATCAGATGTATATTGATCTGGTTAACCTACAGGGAATTCTGAAGTGAACCCTTTATTTAATTTATAGATGAAGACTGTTCTCATTCCACTATATCTAGGGATATCTGGTCTAGTTCTTATTTTTAGTACTGCTCAGTTATTTTTTGCTGTTTCCAACGAGTTCAAGTACACACTGCCTAGCCCAGGGATTGAACTCACAGATGTCACCAAATTCATGAACCAATGCTTTAATCCACTAGGCTATAGGTCCCGTAAGTCTTAATAGTCTAGTAGGTTAAAGTGCTGGTTTGTGAATTCAGAGGGTACAACAGCCGAAACATTGTGATAACGATAACAAAGATAAGGACAATAATCCACATGTAAATAATAACTCCTCAACCCAGAAATTCAGATAGGAAAAAATATTGAAAAAGCTTGTGATGTATTTCATTCCAAGAAGGAACTTCTTCAGACAAATAAAAGTTTTAGTTTATTGTCAAAAGACAATAAGCATTGTTTACAGTTTACATTGAAACATTAAAGATACAATGATGATCAGTTTTTATAATTTTGATAATTTCTGTTTGAATTTCTGGGATTAATGAAATCATTTTTGAAATATTTCTTTTGAAAAATACTTTTTACATAAAAAAAATCCTTTGATCTTCCATCTTATTAATAAAGCTATTATAAAACTAATAAATAATTTTGATGATAACATTTTGTTTTTATTGAATGTTTTGTGAATTTTTTCACCATATATAATGTAACCTCTTTTTTTAGCAAATTTTTGGAGGTACCTACAGTATTACGTTAACAAAATGCGGTTAATTAATCCTTAAAATTATTAAATGACTTTGAAAAAAAATCTTTAGGACAAATATTAGATTATAAAGAGATATTTTAAATTTGTTGTTTACATTTTTCATCTATAATAAGTCGTACGATGAATAATGGTTGAATGTGCCAATGTTTTCAAAATGCCTAAAAACTTTATTTACATGAAGAAATTAATTTTGCTTTTAATAGCGATTAGCTTTTTATTAGCCTATTATCTTTCAAGTAATACCAACATTTAACTTCAAAGAAGATGTTTAAATTATTTAAAAATGCATATTTATTTTTAGTAAATTTGTAGTAGTAACTGGTCTAGATTCTGCTCAGATCCTACAGATTTCATAAATATGATAATTTTATTCAGACAAAAAAGTACTTAGAATTGTTCTCTTATTTTGCATTTGTAAATTCTCATTTATAAAATGTTGGATATTTATTGTATTTAAAAAATCATAGGAAATTTAAAAAATTGTTGAGAATCTGGTTATTGGTAGGGTTTGTGTGGGTAGGGGATGTGTATAAAATTAAATTTCTGAACATATGTATTGCAGAGAATCTGGCTTGGACTAGAAATATTCTTGCATTAGTTCAGGGTTTTTTAATCCTAGGGGTCCATGGATTGGTTTCAGTGGCTCCATGCAGATCAGATGAAAATTAATATATTCCTTATACAGCCCTTGTCTTGATCAGCAGTTTCCCATTGCCATAGGATCACGGCTCAAAATTCTGCCATATAGGATTTTTGCTGCAAGACAATTCCACTGCATTTTTTTTTAATATGCTAAGTACCCTGTTATCATGTATATCTGGCTCACACTATTGTTACTTTGATTTAAACATTTTAATAAGCATAGTCATAGGATGCGCCCTAATTTGTGGAAAATAATTGTGTATTTAAAAAAGGAAGAGATATTAACAAAAAAGAAAAAGTATGATTTAGATTGAGAAGATGCAGTACAAATGAAGAAAATATATTTTGATATCAATGCAAGACTTCAGCAGAAAATGTTTCATTACAGTCCAATGCAAAAAACATTATTTACGAAGCATTGCTTGGAATTTGCACACATTTTAAATTATTTCTTTGTTAATTTGATATATTTTTAGTCTTTTATTTTTTAAATAAATGTTTACTTTTTAATTTCTTTTCTTATGTTTGACTCTGTAAAAAAAGACATCCATATATACTTGATAACAAGGTACTTTGCATATTAAATTGAACATTACTCCAAAAGGGACGTTCAAGATAAGGGTATTGAAAAAAAAATGTGAAATCAGATATGGAAAGAAAGTGATGACCACAGTGGCAGTGCAAAATGCACTAACTGAATAAAATGAATGAATAACTTCTCATGCATTTACCAGAGAAAGACAAATTTAGATAAAAAAAAAAAGAAGTATAACATTGTCTTCATGTCCTTGTTTACAAATGAAGCAAAGCTTAGATGTGGCCCAGGCTGAGATTAAGGTGCACTGGAGGAGGATCAAACTTACTACTAAGCCATAATTGATCTCTAGTGAGACAAACTTGGTAACCATTGCACCACGGTGTAAATTTATTTGTTTAGAAATAAATATAAATTAGTGTGCAAAGAGAGAAAAGAAAAAATTTTTCATTAGACAATGTCGTCATTAAAGAAATGACAATTGTGTTTTCTATTTTTAATCTTTATAACATCAACAAAATACAATACTTGCCAGCAGTGTGAAGTAGGTATGCTTTTTATATAATGTAAATTATTTGGTCAAGTGATTTATTTTGTATTTATTTTATTTTGCTGATTTTATGCCTGTATTATTTATATCTGAAAAATCTGTAATGAGATGTGCTAGAATTCATTGCAATTGAGACTATACGAATTTATAATTGCAAATAACGTAAAAAAATTTTTTTCAGAGATTTCAAATGGACACTTCTGATGGCTGTAAACATTGTATAAAAAACTGTAATGTGATAAAATATCAAATTTGAAAAGATGTATTTAAGATAAATGATATCCATTTTGAATTTGTGATTAATGAAAAGTTAAATATCATGCACAAAAAGATTATATTCAATGTAATTCATTAGAATATAGAGTGAGAAAGAAATATTTTAAAAACAGTGCTAACAATCAAGTGAACTGACAATAGGTCTGTTAAAATGTTTTCTCATGGAAAAGTTGGCATGCAAACGGGCTTTAAAGAGAATTCTTGTGAAACTTGTAGATTGCAATTTTCACAGTTGTGGCAGTTAAAAAAATCACAGGAAGATGCACAAATGAAACAAAGTTTATGTAAAGTATGTAGTTCAGCATTTTTATGAGAATCAGATTAAAAAAAACATGCAAAATCATAGTACAATGAAAAGGTATTCATGTGAAATTTGTGGATCAGCATTTTCAAGGAATTTCGATTTAAAAATTCACATGAAGACACATACTGGAGAGAAACCATATTCGTGTGAAATTTGTGATTCAGTATTTTCAAGGAATTCGATTTGAAAATTCACATGAGGATGCACACTGGTGAGAAACCATATTCATATGAAATTTGTGTTTCTAAATTTACACAGGCAGCACATTTAAGAAAACACATGCAGATACACATTCAAGAAAAACCCTATTCATGTGAAATTTGTGGTTCAGCATTTTCAAAGAATTCACATTTTAAAAATCACATGAGGTCGCACACTGGTGAGAAACCATATTCATGTGAAATTTGTGGTTCATCATTTTCAAAGAATTCACATTTGATAACTCACATGAGGATGCACACTGATAAACCATATTCATGTGAAATTTGTGACTCAACATGTGCATGCAATTCAAATTTAAAAATACACATGAGGATGCACACTGGTGAGAAACCATATTCTTGTGAAATTTGTAATTCAGCATTTACACAGGCATCATATTTAAAAAGACACATGTAGATACACATTGGAGAGAAATCATGTGCATGTGAAATTTGTGGTTCGGCATTTTTCCAGCAGTCACATTTAAAAAGACACATGCATATACACACAGGTGAGAAACCATATTCATGTGAAGTATGTGGTTCAGTATTTTCATGGAATTCAAGTTTAAAAACTCACATGCTAACACACACTGGTGAGAAACCATATTCATGTATTGTGTGTTACTGAGCAGTAATGAAAAAGAACAAGACATTATGTCCCTAGACATGTCCAACAGAACAGGAAAAGTCTGCTTCTATAGATTATTTAAAGAGCTCAGTTTAAAAAATTCGAGAAATTAACCTGAATGCATAACAGATGAAATGTTGATAATAACAACAAAGAAGAGTAATATATATATATATATATACACACATATACACGCTCAGTGGGGGGGCGGAGAAATTTTGATATACCATATATTGATATATATATATATATATATATTTTTTTTTTGAAAACATATCTGCTCTGAATTTTACATTGAGCTCTCTGGATATCATCCTCCTCAGGTCTACCCATACGGATTACCTAAATTTGCATAAACTATATATATATATATATATATATATATATATACCATTTTTTTTTATTTAACAGATTTTATAAAAGAATTTTATAATCCATATTATATTTGTATCAGTCAGTTATGTGACATGTGGGATGTGCATCACTTAGGTGATCATGTAACTTTTGATACATGACTGACGAGGCAGATTTTTTTCTCACAGTAGGTTGCCATTTCTTTCCGCAGTAGACCAGTTGCCATCCAAGGCTATAGATCCCAGTCTGTCCTGCTATCTGCTATTTACCAATAGCTGGGGGAAGAAAATGAGGATTCATACATTTTCCAAGGGT